AGCACTTGAGTGCATTTCCTGAAAAAACAAGTCGTAAAAGATTTTGGAAAGCCTTCCCACAGAGAAATGGGAACGCATTTGTTACAGCTCTGACATGTGACAAATTGCTGCCATTTGCTTTCAGGGAAAGCCAGCGTGGTGGCAAAATTAGCAGCATTCAGCGATTAGTGGATGGCAGTTCTGTGTGAAGGGAGCAGAGGCGAAATTAGAGACCTCCTGCGTGCGCCATGCTCACGCACAGCAACCAGCACAATGTGCTCTCTTCTTTTTCACGGGAAGGCTTTTTAGGCCACATGGCTTCCATGTGGAAGTGATTTCATCTCCTTAATTAGGATCACATTTACGAATAAAAGCAGAGTCAGGAAGCCAGCCTGACAAGGGTAGCACACCAAGAGCCAGGGTAAGCAGGAAGCCTTTGAAGGCTCTAAGATGAAGGTAGCTGGGGTTCGGAAGGAAGTGGTTTTGTAGCCCTTGTTTGGTCTTGCTTGTATCGCAGGCATTATTGGAGTGGTGTGTTAGGTTCATTAGAGGCTTAATTCTGACATTTATAGAGAAAGAGGGACAAGGCTCGTCTGGATTCTGCAGAACCCCTGTTGTTGTAGGTTAGCCAGAAATTACCCATAACCTCTCCTGAAGAGTTTCACGTTACCTCCTGGAAGCTTTGCCTGCCTATTTGAAGCCTAAGATTTTAAGCGATTGGATTTTTCAAATGCAGACTAAAACCTTTAAAGATAAGTTTCGCAAATACTTTGACCAGAAGTAGGAAGTGAGAAGAAAGACGAAAGAGGAATGGCCTCGGATTTTAGTACCTGTGCAGGCAGTATTGATCAGGACCAAAACAGGGAAAAGGAAAAAGAAAACAATTTCACTGATGGACTTTAAGTGCGTTCGTTCAGTTCGTGCTGAAATGGGATTTGTAGAATAATATTTTATTTTAGGTTGCCATGGGCTGATTTATTTTAATCCTGTGGAAACACATATACATTGATAGCTGAGTTTTAACCAAAAAAGGAATGATTTGTGTCATTGAATTCTCATTCTGTTTCGAGGACCACATTAATAATTTGATACTATGCACAAAAATAAACAAAGCGGAACACAGAAAAGAATGTCCTAATGGTGATCTTTCTTTATGGGTGCAAATCAGCAGTGTGTGTAATAGAAAAATTAAATCTAGGTTTGCTCACAGTGCATTCAAGGCTGGCATTATCTTTGAGTTAAATGAACATAATTTACATTTTCCATTTCAACAGAGTTACTGTGGAAGATCAAAATTAAAATCTTTTCAAAAACTGTGTATGTGACACATATATATGCACCTACACACACACACACACACACACACACACACACACGCTCATAGGAACAGCTTCCAAATTGATTTTATCTCATCACGGCTTGAATGAAATGGAACAATATACATGTAGGTTTGGGGTAGTTGATTATTCAAGACGTGTTTTTTTTAATTTTTTATTTATTTATGATAGTCACACAGAATGAGAGAGGGAGGTGGAGACACAGGCAGAGGGAGAAGCAGGCTCCATGCACCGGGAGCCCGATGTGGGAATCGATCTCGGGTCTCCAGGATCGCACCCTGGGCCAAAGGCAGGCGCCAAACCGCTGCGCCACCCAGGGATCCCATGCGCCACCCAGGGATCCCCAAGACGTGTTATATTAAAACTTTCAGAGCTCCCATTTTCAGTACAAAAAAGGGTATTAGAATTGGGATTCTCTTTTAGGCTATTGGTGTGAAAAGCACTTTCAGAAGGAATTAAAAATTTCCCTTTATCCCTTTTCACACTGTAAGATGATAGGATATATTTGTGGCTTTCTAATGTGTCTCACTGGTTTCTGGTTAGATTTTTGTAAATGCAGAATTTGGGTGTGTTTATGTGCGCACATGTGGGTCTGTGTAGTGGTGGTCTTGTGAGATAGGTTACTATTTTTTGGATGAGGTTGAGAAGCTCGAGGCAGGAAGAAAAGAGAAAGAGGGCAGCCCGGGTGGCTCAGCAGTTTAGCGCTGCCTTCGGACCAGGGCGTGATCCTGGAGACCTGGGATCGAGTCCCACGTTGGGGTTGGGCTCCCTGCGTGGAGCCTGTCTATGTCTCTGCCTCTCTCTCTCTCTCTCTCTCTCTCTCGTAAGTAAATAAAATCTTTAAGGAAAAGAGAAAGAGCTTGCCAGGAGGGCAAGAGCTTGCCAGGAGGGCTTGCCAGGAGGGCAAGGCTAGAGCAAGGTAACCTGTAGCTCCCCACTCACTCCCCACAGCTCTAGGCGCTCTTCTTTGCTCCAGACACATGCTCCCTTCTTAACAGCTCTAGTCTGAGAATCAGAAGGGAACTTTCAAAATTAGGATGTGGAGGAAAACATTAATTTTCTGACTCAGAATTTTAGAACCATGCATGAATTTAAAAATCAGTGGGTCCTATCATGAGATTTTTCAGATGAGTGAATTGAGCCCAGTAGAAGATACGTGCTTTGTTAGTCAACGGGAAAAGCAATGCTAGCATCGGTGCCTTCCCATTTCCAGTTCAAGAGTATTTTTAATGACTACGTTGTTGGAGAATTCTAGTAAAAATTAATCCAGGGGCCTCTGTGATTAAAGCTCTTTGCAGTAGGCAGGGATACTGCATCTGCTACTGAGACAGAAGTTAGGAAAGACACTTAACAGGGATTCTTTTTCTAGAAGAGAACCAAATACTGTCCAGGCAGACGAATCATCACTATGTGAAATTTACCCTTGATCTTTTTATCTTATTTATTTATTTATTTTTAAGTAACTGCTACCTTCAACGTGGGGCTCGAACTCACGACCCCGAGATCAAGAGTCACATGCTCCCCCGTCTGAGCCAGCCAGGCGCCCCTACCCTTGATCTTTTTAGAGGTAATTTTAGGAGACTTCATCAGGCAAAACCAAATCCTTTCCAGATGGTTCCATACACACCTAAGGATCGTAGAGAATTAGATCCTGTGTCCCATGGGTGCTGCCCTTGTTTTATGTATGGTTCAACATCTTCAGATTGATTGTGAATGTTTGGCCTCAGGTTGCGTTCAATGCTGTAAGTCTTTCTGGTTTCATTTATGTATGCACAGGGGAATTTGCTTTTGCAGTCTTTGAAGCTACATTGATGCAGCTTGGCCTTCTAAGCCACATAAAACCACCTACCAGACCTTTTAAAACCCAAAGCTTCAAAAATGAGATATTCATATTATTTACATTATTTACAGTTCCTTATTCCAAAATTTAATGTACAGACACACACTCTGACCATACCAAAACACCTGTCCTGAAGAGAGGCATTTTGCTAAGGGTAAGTAAAGATACTGATGAGTAATACCCTATGTATACTGTAAATAAATGTATTACTATGCATGATAATGCATGGGATTTTTCCATAATGAAAATCAGTCAATAAATATTTATTGACTACCTACTATGTGACAGGCACTGTGGGTTGGCCCTGGGTGAAATGTCCATATCCTTGTAGTGTTTATAAAATTATTCTCTGCAAAATGATGCCTTTATCAAGGGATAGTAAATAACTCTGGGCTCTCTGGAGCCTCTCTTTTGGTCTATTGACACATGTATGTTTTTAATGAATGTTAGTTTTTGCTAAAATATAGACACAGACAAGTACATAAATCAAGTGTACAGATCAGAAAATTTTCACCCAGTGAACACACCCATAAAACCAGAATCCAGGTCTAGAGACAGACATTGTTTGGCCTTTTTAACCCATTTTTTAACCCATAACAGCTCCTAAGCTTCCCAAGGTAACCACTTTTCTGACTTCTGACATCATAGATTAGTTTTACCTTATTTTGAACTTCAGAGAAATGGAATAATATGGTCTATGATATTCTGTGTCTGCCTTCATTTGCTTAGTAGTATGATTGTGAGATTCCTCTGAGGTGTTGTATATAGTTGGGTTCATTCATTCTCCTTGCCGCATAGTATTTCATTGTGTAAGTAGATTACAACTCACTTATCCCTTCTATCATTAAAGATAGCTGGAATAGTTCCATTTTTTCTGCTGTTACTGACAGTATCACTATCAAGTGATATCAAGATTCAAGTTCTTGTCTTTAGGTGAACACTTCTGTTGGGGATCCACGTATGTATGGAACGCTGGGGTCATAGATAATGCATATATTCATCTGTCCTGCATACTGCCAAGCAGTTTTTTTGCAGTGTTTATACCAAGGGCTAGTCCCACCAGCAGTGTATGAAAGTTATTCCACATACTTGACAAATTTGGTGTTGTGTGCTTTTTCATTTTTGTGTGTATTTGCAGTTTTTAAAAAGTCAAACAGAACCACTGGGGCTTTGTGATAAATGAGACATAAAGTTCATAGCAACAGTGATAATCCCTTGGATCTTGGACTGTGCCAGTGATTCAAAATGGTATCATAGTGGATTACAAACTCTGCCTAGCTGTTGATGGAATCAGAGCCACTGTTTACAGTGCAGAGTCCCACAGAAGTTTGCTTTTCTCACATTCGGAGTTGTGGCTTTTTCTTCAAGCTAGTGGTGGTAAACAACCTTTTTTTTTTTCCAAAAGGGCCAAGTTAGAACAAATAAAAATATTTACTGGCCACCTAATTTTTTTTTAAATGGACATGGCCTTATTGAGACCTGGGGAAGAAGCATACATGGGGATATGAGATAACCTACTATATCAAGTAGAAGCCTGGAAGTGAGCAAGCTGAGGCAACTCTTGGCCGACAAACTATTCACCTCAGACTGTATTTGAGATGTGGTTATAGGGAGACAGCTGTCATCCTGAAATTAGTTTGTCAACCATGTTGTAAAGCTAGGAGGGTTAACTTTTAGACCAAGGTCTTAAGAGGGGGATGTATGGTAGCCCATTCCCTTGCTTTAACAGCACTTGTGAAGGAGGAACCGGTAATCCGGGCCCGACGCTCATCAGAGAAGGGCCCAGCTGAAGTGAAGAACTTTATTTTTGGAAAAGAGGCTAATGGTTTCCTTTTCCTTTTCAGTCTAAGATTTACACGCGCACACCAACCTTATATTTGGACTTCAAATTGGACCAAGGAGCCAAGCATTCCCAGCCTATTCCTAAAGGTATGATGGCTTCTGGGGTTTCATCATCAGAATCAAAAACGAAAACAAGGGACCACTTTCTCTGAAATGTGCTCATTTCTGAACCTTAGCAAGAAATGCTATGATAGACTTTGTTTGGGTGTAAGTACATTTGGCAAATATTGCTGGGGCTTTTCAAGCAAAGATCATGTGGAATTCATAGAATGTTAGGGCCAGACTGCCTGCCCCCCCCCCTTTTTACAGGTATAAACACGGAGACTCTACAGATTAGTTACTTGGTCAAGGCGTCATCAAGACTTGCTGGGCAAGGCAGGACTTTTATCCTCGTCTCCTGATTTCCTAGCCAGTGGGGATTCAAAGTGTTCCTGGAGGCAGATTTCAACCTCATCGCTTATGAACAGGTGCTCATTGAGCTGTAGATATCTCTCGATAAAGGTGTTGTTACGGATGACTGACTTACCCTAGAGTTGACTTTTAAATTCAAAGAATAATTACAATACTCCCAGGTGTTTAATGCCAATTGCATTTGTTTATTTAAAGGTTTTTTTTTATTTGGAGAGAGAGCACAAGCAGGAGGAGGGCAAGAGGGAGAGTGAAATCCCAAGTAGACTCCCCGCCAAGGGTAGAGCCCCTTTCGGGGCTTGATCTCACAAACCCGAGTTGAAACCAAGAGTTGGATGCTCAACTGACTGAGCCACACAGGTGCCCCCAAGGCCTATTTTATTTCATTTTTAAGATTTTATTTATTTGTGAGAGACAGAGAGAGAGAGAGAGGCAGACACAGGCAGAGGGAGAAGCAGGCTCCATGCAGGGAGCCTGATGCAGGACTTGATCCTGGGATTCCAGGATCACACCCTGGGCCAAAGGCAGGCGCTTAACTGCTGAGCCACCCGGGCGTCCCAACCCAATTTCATTTTTAAAACTGGTTGCATCTGAGGTCATTAGGCATTCACCTTGGATCCATTATTTTCTTCTTTGGTTTTGTGGTTACTGGTTATTTTTAGGTACAGAAAAACTTTTTAGATTTATCCACTTAAACATATGCCTACCCTTATACACAACTTTTGTAACAGCAAGTGTGAAAGCATATATGCCTTTTTAAAATATAGATTTTATTTTTATTTTTTTAAAGATTTTATTTATTCATGAGAGACACAGAGGAAGAGAGAGGCAGAGACACAGGCAGAGGGAGAAGCAGGCTCCATGCAGGGAGCCCGACGTGGGACTTGATCCCAGGTCTCCAGGATCAGGCCCTGGGCGGAAGGCGGCACTAAACCGCTGAGCCACCTGGGCTGCCCGGAGCCTCCCGGGCTGCCCAGATTTTATTTTTAAGTAACCTCTATACCCAACGTGGGTCTCGAACTCACAACCCCAAGATCAGGAGTCCCATGCTTTTCTGACTGAGCCAGCCAGATGCCCCAGAAAGTGCATATGCTTTAACCTTAAGTGCAGTGCTTTTTACTTATATTTTTTTTTAATTTTTTTTTAATTTTTTTATTTATTTATGATAGTCACAGAGAGAGAGAGAGAGAGAGAGAGAGGCAGAGACACAGGCAGAGGGAGAAGCAGGCTCCATGCACCGGAAGCCTGATGTGGGATTCGATCCCGGGTCTCCAGGATCGCGCCCTGGGCCAAAGGCAGGCGCCAAACCGCTGCGCCACCCAGGGATCCCTTTACTTATATTTTTGAGTTTTCTTCCCTCCAGTTCCTTCCGGTATCTTCCCTGTATATCCCAGCTCTAGGATCTATCCTAGATATATACTCACATTAGGTCTTGCTGTGTTTTCCCCTAAACCCACTATTCTACACTGACATATATGTGCATGCAAATGTATACATACACAGGGCTATTTTTTCATCATTTTACCGAAATGGAATCATACGATAAATACATTCATGCATCTTTTTTGGCCAACAATTCCTCATGGAACTCTTTCCCAATCTGCTTGTATGGCTCTTTATTCTTGGACTTAATTTTTAAAATTTGTAATTGAAATAGAGTTGACATATAATATTATCTTAGTTTCAGGCGTACAACATAGTGTTCCTACAGTTATGTACGTTACGGTACGCTCACCACAGTAAGCGTCCTCACCGCCTGTCCCCACACAGAGTTTTTCCAGTGTTATTGTTGACTCTATTCCCGATGCTGTGCTTTTCATCCCTATGACTTGTTTATTTTATAACTGGAAGATTGTATATCTGAGTCCCCTTCACCTATCTCCCCATCCTCCTCCTCTTTAGCAACCACTAGTTTGTTCTTATGAGTCTCTTTCTCTTGGCCGTGGTGGTAATGGTGGTAACGGCGGTCTACTGTGCTATGGGTTGACCCATACAGGCACTCCCTCTGTACCTGGTGCCTGGCCACTGCACACTGGTCTGTGATAAACATCCATATGCACATGCCCTTCCATACGGGCACTTATTTTGATGCGGTAGGTTTCCAGGGATGGTCACAAGGTATATGCATGTTTAATTTTAAAACACATTGCCAGGCTGCAATTCAGAAACACAATCGTCCTTTCCATCAGGAGCATCTGAGAGCACCAGTTTCTCCATAACCCCACTGATACTAAGTGGATGGTTCATGTTAAGTTTTGTCCTACCCTTAGTCACTACTCTATATTGGCTCATGAGAGAATGTATATATGTCACTTTAAAGGCTCTCCTTCTGTTTTATTTTGTCATTATAAATTGTAAATCTGAGATTTGTTTTCAAAAACATTTCTGGAGGGATGCAAAAGCCAGTAGCTTAGAAATGCATGTTTATCACTGAGTCAGTATAAACCCACTTGGAGCAGATCTGTTATAAACCCAGCTATGAAACCGAAGAACCTGTCTTTTCCAGGACATCACTTCTAATTATAGTGTATCCTCTTTTTCTCGGTGTCTCTGTCTGCCTGTCTGTCTCTCTCTCTCTCTTTCTCATACACACACACACACACACACACACACACACACATGCTTGTCTCTGTTTTCATTACATTCAATGACAAATCCAAAGTTCGAGGTGTGTCTGTCCAGTACCAGACAAACAATGTAGTTCAGGTATCATAAAGCACTTATTATTTACAAGCTTGATAGTTCTGGCTGCCTATAATCAGCCATATTGACTAGTGAAATTATGCTACATAAATTTTATTATCAAGTCATTCAAGTCAAGGTCACCTTTTATCCTTTTTTTTTAAACCACCTTTCCAGGTCAAATTCCATTATAAAACCCGAAGACTGTTTAAATTCATTTTATTTGGGTGCTTTGCTGCATCAATATTTCTTAAAATGTGTTTGTCATTGGCTGGGTCCTGGACATGTTTTGTTTATAATATTTTGAGTGTTTTGTTACTCATGGTAAGGGGATTTGACATGGATGTCTGGGTTATGTTTGGCTTTTGGCATAAGCTTTGTGATCTTGCTGATCTAATGTTGACATTGTTGTATCATTACCAAAGCAGTGGGATAGAAATAGAGGCATACAGCGCTACCAGCACATCCCTGCTACCAGGGAAATATGTATTTCCCAAGGGAAATCGAGTTAAGGGTGATCAGAAACATTTCTCATGAATCAGACTAGGTTTTATATGAATTCTTTCCCATAAATTGTATGGGAATTGTTTTTACCATCTCTGTCTTTCCTTTGGTTAAGACATATTTCTGTGGAGTTGGGCTAATCCTGCAGAAAACAGATGTTTCATGCAGTGATGATTTGGAAGGGAGCTGATATCAGGAACCAAGCCTGAACAGTGCATCACTTACAAAGAATCCAATTTGTCAAGTCTCTGACAGTACCAGATTCCTTTAACATCGGCCACACGTATTTCATGTTAGCTCTTGGCTAAAATGGGAATAAGTAGTTGTTTTTGGTTTGGGTTTTTTTTTTTTTTGCCAAGACTTTGACCATCTCTTACAAGCAGTTTGATCTTCCTTGCTGAAAACTGACATGCAGATAATACTGTTATCATTCACTGAGAAGACCTTAATCTGTATTTCTAGGGAAGGATCTATCTGTCCCCAGAAACCTGGGCCTTCTGGTCCTCATGTCCCCTTTATCTTCTGACACCATTGAAGTTTGGCTCTGAACAGCCACTCTCTCGCTCCCAGTCTTCCTTCACAGTGACTCTGCCACTAGGTATTTAAAGCATGATCTGGGGACAGCCTGGGTGGTTCATCAGTTTAGCGCCACCTTCGGCCCAGGGCGTGATCCTGAAGACCCGGGATCGAGTCCCATGTCAGTCTCCCTGCATGGAGCCTGCTTCTCCCTCTGCCTGTGTCTCTGTCTGTCTCTCTCTCTGTTTCTCATGAATAAATAAAATCTTTAAAAAATAAATAAATCATGATCTGGAATGTTAAAAGTGGAGCGTGGTTATGGTATGGAAACACTTAATTTTGTGTTCTTTTACTTCCCCCAACCTTTTAATTTTCTTTGCTGTATGTACATCAATCCAAAAGATGTCTTTAGAGGACCTATAGCCTACCCTTCTGTGGTAAGCAGAATAGTGGTGCCACAAAGATGTCCACAGCCTTAATCCTTGGGACCCGGGAATATGTTACTTTCCATGGTAAAGGGGATGTCGCAGATGTGATTAGGTTAAGGATCTTGAGATGGGGAGAGTGGCCTGGATAGTCCAGGTGGCCCCAGTATAATCAAAGGGTCTGTGTAAATGGAGGAGGCGGCAAGAGCAGAGTGAAAGACCAATAGAAGCGCAGGTCCAGGTGATGTAGTTGCTAGTTTTGAAAATGGGAGGGGGTCTCATGCCAAGGAATGGAGGCAATCTCTAGAAGTTAAAAAAGGCAAGGAAATGCATTCTCCCCTAGAGCCTCTAGAAGGAAGGCTGCCCTGCTGATACCTTGATTGTAGACCCTCAAGACCCATTTTTGGACTTTAGACCTCCACAACTATGAGATAACGGTTTGTGTTGCTTTAAGCCACCAAGTTTGTGGTGATATGTTACAGCAGCAATAGGAAACTTTAAGAGAATTCATTCTCTTAAATATTGTCAATGTATTTTTGCTTCTGTGGGAGG